GGGCCCCTTCCCTGCCCACCTGGTGGACGTCAGCGGCACGGGGACGCTGTCGCACTCCTACCAGTATGAGGTGTGTCTCTCTGGAGGTTCTGGGACCAATGATTTCAAGTTCTTGAAACCAATTTATCCTGATTTTCGCACACAGCGTCCTGGAAGTAGTAGTGAAGAAAATCCCACCTTCTGAAATAGATTTAGAATGTACCACTATAGCACCCTGAAAGTGCCCCATCTCATGTGAAATAGCTTTGGTTTTCATTTTCAGTAAAAATCTCGTTGTATTTTCATGTTTTTTTTTTAGTAATAGACTAACATATCCCTTAGTATAGTTCTGTACTAGTTGTTAGGCAATACTAATTGTCTATTTTAAATGTTATTCCATTGTTTTGCAGTAGAAGCTAGTTTTAATTAAGTTGCCAATCATTTAGAATAATGAGTTTAAGATTTTAATCCTTTTCCAATGCACAAAGGTGTATTGGTTCTAATCTGAAAGAACTGGGCAATTCATTTTTCTTCTGTTTGTTGGTGCTGGAGATTGAATCCATGCTATAGGAAATACTATAGGAATACATTCACTGTTTTGAGCTACAACCCAGTCCCTATTCTGGTCTGTTTTTAATGATCATAACTACTCATCTTTTGTATTTCCCTCACGTGAGAAGTCAAATCTGTACTTTAAATTTTATTCTGAAGTTTTACTTACTCACGTTAAAAATCATGCAATCTACTTCTAAATCACTGTTTTAGAGGAAATAATTTTCTGTTGCTCTGCTCATTGTAAAGTGAAACAAAGCATTTTGTGATTGATATTGGACATCTTTGTGCTGCTTCCTTTAAATGCATTACCGCTGGTCATATGATGTCTGCTTTTGCTCATATATAGAACAGACCATACAATATAATTCCAATCAAATGTAATTACCTACATACAAATGAATACATATTTTAAGCATTTTGAAAAATTGTGTGTGAGAATATTAGATTTATAGAACAGAATTTCATTTTGTAAATTTCTTTTAAGGATCTTTTCAAATTTCAAAATTGAAGTAGGTCCAGCCAAATAGCTCAGCGGATTAAAGCACCCGCTTAGGCAGAGGCAGGGGCCAGTAGTTGATTCCCTGGCCTGCTGTGCCGACTCCACCCCCAGGATGCTCTGTGAAGGTGTTTGAAACTGGGCGTGGTGACGCACCAGTAGTCCCAGCTCTTGGGAGGCTGTAAATAGGCAGATCACTATGAGTCTGATCTACACAGTGAGACCCTGTACACTTCGTCCTAAATACAAAAGAAGTTGAAGTAAATTAAAAATCATGAAGAAAAGCAGTAATGTCTTCAATCTCTATCCCCTCTGTAAATTGGCTTCTTCTAAAATTGATGGCAGTACTTAAAAATAATGATTATATTACTTTATCTTGACATTTGGTTTTATATTTTAATTTTTAGTTAGGATAAAAAGTATGTTTCTTATTTTCCAACTAGTAAACACAATTGCTGCATAGTCCCTCCCCATTCTCCTAGTAGAATTGTTTAAGTTGAATAGTAGAGTTTATATTGCTAAGCAATCTTCTAAATACACAATACCACTGAATTATTACAAAAATTTCTTTCTTAGACCTGATAATTATTGTCCTATGCTTATATCATTTTCTATTAACTGCTATTGATTTTTTCACATAATTTCTCTTGAATATCATCTTTTTCCTTAATCTATATTAAACAGGATCAAATAACTATCAATTATATTTGTTCCTTGTGGATTTTCACCCAAATTTCTGCTTCATCTACAACTCTTTGCTTCATAATGTATGACATTAGAATATTTGTACTTTAATATTTTCCTTTGTTGGTCCTATATAGTGTTACCTTTTCACCATTATGACAAAATAACTGAGAATAAACAATTTAAAGGAAGAAATGTTTCTTTTTGTCTCATAGTATCAGAGGTTTCAATCGATGATAGACTGACTTCATGGCTTTTATTTATTTATTTCTTTATTTGGCGGAACTGGGGACTGAACTCAGGCCCTTGCACTTGCCAGTGAAGCACTTATTCCATGGAGCCATCTCCCCAGCCCCTTCATTGCTTTTAGACTTATGGCAGTGCAGGAAAGTTATGGTAGAGGAAAGGTGATCACCTCTCTGCAGACAAGAAGAGAGGATAAGAACAAGAGAGGAAGGGGCAGGTAACCAAATACAATAAAAACAAGAAAAAATTTCACACCTCCATGATCTGCTCACCTCAGCTAGGGCCCACCTCTTGTTTCCATCATTTCTAAGAATTTTCAAATTATGATCTGATCAGTAGGTGAGGGTAGAAGTCCCTTAATGCAACCACTTGCCCCAAACCCTTCAACTGCAAACCCCTTCAGTATCATGAGCATTTGGAGGAATGTTTTGGACCCTAATAATAACACTTGGTATAAGCTACAGTATATTCTTTCTCAGTTAACTCTCACATTTGATTAACATATGTCTCTCATTACCTATCTAAAAATGGAGGTAAAACTATTTTCAGACCATGCTTTGTGAAGTAATCTTTTTCTTTTTGTTTGATTGATAATTTCACTAGGTATAAAATTCCAGGTAGAAAAAAATTTTACTTCAGATTTTAAAACACTGTTCCTTTTATTTAATGACCAGAGTTGCTATTCAGAAGGCTGAATCCACTTTAATTCCCATCTCTTATGTGTGATCCATTTTTTTCTGTTTTTCTGAAAACACTGGAAATCTTTTCCCTTGATTCTGAAAATTACTTATCAGTAGCTCTTATTTATTAATGTAAACATATGGATATTCCTTGCTACTGTTTAAACTCAGTTTTGAGAAATTTTCTTATCATGTTTATCATAATTTCTTCTGAGTTTTCTCCATTCTCACTTTAACCAGAATCTACATTACAAATGACAATCTCATGTGCTGACTGTGTAAGACTAGAAGTTTGTTTTCTCTTATTTTCTCTTTGTCTCCTGTTCAATTCTCTTGACTATTTAATCATTCAGTCTTTATACTTAAACTTTTCTTTTTGACTGACAAGTATTTACTTTTAAATTTTCTTTTTGCATCTCTGAACATTTTGTCCATAGTATTTTTGATAGATTTGCAAATATATTATCTTCACTCATAAGTATTTATATTTTTGAAATATATTATGTGAAAAACATAATAAAGCATATAAATAATGAGAGTCCAGGAAGATAAGAATTTGGTCAAACTTATTTCTTTTTTTTTTTCCCGCGGAACCAGGGATTGAACTCAGACCCTTGTGCTTGCCAGGGAAGTGCTTATTCCACTGAGCCATCTCCCTGTCCCAAGAATTTGGTCAAACTTAAATATAACTAGCAAGGTATAATTAAGTCATGATCTATTCTTTCTCATACTAAAGAGTATATACCTCATGTTGTTGTTATTAAGATGAAATGGGCAAATTATATGGCAGACTTAAAGCAATGGGTGACATGCATTAATTATGAAATTAAGCATTAAGTTTTATTCAATTCTTAATTTTATTTCTCTGAGAATATTAATCAGGTCATGTCAAAGGCATTTTCTTCTATGTATTTGCTTATTCTAGTTCCTTTTTTATAAAGACAGTGTTTTTGGCCTATTTCATGTTAGGCATCTCCTCACTGTCTTGTCATTTTGGGCTGGATTTTCATATTTAATAATGGTGCCATATCAAGAAGCTGACTTTTTATGAGTATCTGTTGTTGGCCTGGCTTCTTTCTACTGTAACCATGTTAGTTTAGGGCAATTACATTGAAAGATTCAGAGACGAGAATGTTTAAGTATTTAATTTGGGCCTTCTATATTCTTGCATTTAGAAATCTGGAGTACCTACTATGTGAGTGTGGATCTCAGGTATATATCTTGGGTCCTACAATCTTCAAGAGTTGCATGAGAAATGACTAGAAATTTTACCATTCAAAATGCAAAGTTTTGTTTACTTTTCCTAGGTTTAGTTTCATGCCTGACACTTGCATTCAGCTCTGACAGCATCTTCAAGATACAAAAGCCTCACTCAGTTTCTCCAGATAGTAAACTATCTATTCTGTGATCCTCAAATACTATCCTGTTTCTTTGGTGTGGACAAAGGAACAAAGAATTCAAGTATCTTCTGTATATACCTTCAACTAATAATTGTTTCCATTTTTAATTATCTTCAGTGTCTCTATGCATGTGGTTCTTCCAATCTTCAAGCTAAATATACAGTAATTAGGTAGGACAAACCCATTCATTTCTTATATCTTTAAAGCAAAAACTTTAACCATTTTTGGAACTTCTAAGTCTGTGTCCCTAATATCTGTGTTCCCTCATATATATATGTGTGTTCATTTGTGCACTCAGACACGTGTAAAGTTAATTTTTTCTTTTACATCATTATCTGAGTATCTTAAATAAGAGATTAACTATGTGCAATCAACATGCCTACTTTTCATTTCCTACTTTGTTATTGATTATTTCAATTGTGTATAGTTTACTTTTTAAAGAATGTAAGTTGATTTTTGCATTTTAAATGTCAAGTTGTTATTCATTCTTATTGTGCCTTTGATGTTTCCTGTAGTGGACATAATTGATGATCTATCACCTATTTTAGTCTCCCTTGTTATGTAACAAATTGACTATGATTGAAACAATCTCAAGGTTCAAAGATACTACTAGACAAGGTCAAATAAAGGCCAAAGACAAGTCTTCTGATTCTGGTATTAAAAGCTCCATCTAGAATGCTATCCTTGAAACAATGATTGTTTCAGTAGCAGAAATATGCTAGTCTAATCAGAATAAAATATTGTTCTCTTTGGCAAAGATAATCACTCTTACTTTTGCTAGCTTGACTGAAAGAAAAGGTAGCCAACCATAGTTTTAGGTGGAATATATCTTAAAAACCTGAGAGAAACTAGTTCTAGGAGTAAGAGTCAATTTAAAATGAAGCTAACATGTTTTATAGTGGGGTGTCGTGGTACATGCATGCCTGTAATCCCAGAACATGCGCAGTTGAGGCTGGAGAACTACCATGAGTTCAAGGCTAGTCTGAACCACATAGATAAACCCTGTCTCAAAGTAAAACATGTTTCCATTTATGTACTTACTAAACATTCTTGTAAATTATGAGAAACTGGACCAAATGATGGACTTGAATAATTCTTCTTCACCAGCATCTCACTTCATTTTCTCTCAGCTCACAATTCATTGCTGTTAAGGAAATCTACATCATGCCTTCATATGCTATAAACATCTATCTTAATGTGAAACATCTCACAGTTAATCCAGTTTCATATTCTCTTGGAGATCTTCTGAAATGTCCCATGAACCCCTTCTTTTTCTCTTACCACCTAAGGAATGCCAAGTAATAAAAGGATTTTGCACAGCTTGACAATCAACTACATCTTCGTTTCAGGTTTATAGATTCTCAGAAAGTTTACAAACGCCTGATAACCAGGAATCACATCTTGTATTTATCTATTTCCCCACAACCAAACACATTGTGTGGAGGGTGGGAAAAGTATTCAATAAGTGTTTAAAACAAACACAACACCATAACAAATTATGGAAAACATAAATTAATGATCACAAAAAATCAAATATATTTGTAATCATGTAACATAACTTGTCTCTGGAGCACATGAATGTGAATGAAAATTTAGGAAGCTTTCAAGAGAAGCTGCGAAAATCTGTGAAGACACGTGGTGGCGCTGCAGGATAATATCAGGAAAAAATTAAAGTGAACGATGTGGCGGAAACTTACCCTGTGCACACAGACATTTGGGGAAGACGGAAAGAACTAGTCCTCAAAGGGACCCAGGAGCCATTTGACAGGGGTAAAAATCCTTAAGCTTCCCAGAATATTTTTGTCAGCTCAAAAGGCACATTTCCTACAACTGCATCGTGAAGCTGAAGCTATTCTGCAGGAAATTGTCAGCAAAGGAGCTATGGGGAACAGAGCAAAAGGCACTCTGCAGACAAGGCAAGTCCTGCTTCTCTTTGTTTTGTTGGTAATAACTCAGGCCGACCTTGAGCCTGGGAGATTTTCGGTGGAGGAGGAAATGCAGGGTGGGGCCTCCGTAGGCAATTTGGCAAAAGCTCTAGGACTGCAGGTGGGTGAGCTGTCCTTACGCGGAGCTCAGGTGGTCTCTAATGATAACAGACAACCCTTGAAGCTGGACATAAAAACCGGGGATTTGCTCTTAGTGGAAACGCTAGACCGGGAAGAGCTCTGTGGCTCCAATGAGCCCTGTGTGCTGCATTTCCAGGTGTTAATGAAAAACCCTTTGCAGTTTTTACAAATTGAACTTCAAGTCAAGGATATAAATGACCACTCTCCCATCTTCTTGGAGAAAGAAATACTACTAGAAATCCCAGAGAATAGTCCTGTTGGGGCTGTGTTCTTAGTAGAAAATGCAAAAGACTTAGATGTAGGAACCAATGCCATAAAAACCTACACAATAGGCACTAACTCTCATTTCCACACTAAAATGAGAGTTAACCCAGACAATCAGAAATACCCGGAGTTAATTCTGGACAAGGCGCTGGATTATGAAGAGCAGCCAGAGCTCAGCTTCATCCTCACTGCGCTGGATGGTGGGTCCCCACCCAGAACCGGGACTACATTGGTTCAAGTAGTGGTTATAGATACTAATGATAACTCCCCAGAGTTCGAGCATCCATTTTATGATATAAAGATTCCGGAGAATAGTATCCTTGGTTCTCAGCTTGTCACTGTCTCAGCTTGGGATTTAGATTCTGGAATAAATGGGGAAATAACATACACTTTTTCTCATGCATCAGAAAATATTCAAAAAACATTTGAAGTTAATCCAAAGTCTGGAAAAGTTAGTTTAACGGCACCCTTGGATTTCGAAACAATTGAATCATACTCCATAATCATTCAAGCTACAGATGGGGGAGGACTGTTTGGAAAATCTACACTCAGTATTCAGGTGATGGATGTGAATGACAATGCCCCAGAAATAGCTGTGTCTTCAATAACCAATCCAATCCCAGAAAATTCTCCGGAGATTGTAGTTATGGTTTTCAGTGTCCGAGACAGAGACTCTGGGGACAATGGGAGAATGGTATGTTCTGTCCCGGAAGACCTACCATTCGTGCTGAAAACTTCTGTTAAAAATTATTACACTCTAAAAACAGAGAAAACACTGGACAGAGAGAACAGAGCTGAGTACAATATCACCATCACTGTCACGGACTTGGGGACACCTAGGCTCAAAACCCACTACAACTTAACCGTGCAGGTCTCAGACGTCAACGACAACGCCCCCACCTTCACCCAATCCTCCTACACCCTCTTCGTCCCAGAAAACAACAG